AATTGAATTTAATTAAATAAAATAACATAGTTTAATATTAAAATTTTAATTTATTTTAAGGATTAAAATTGATATCTATTTTATGCACATTTTTAGTATTTAATATTTTTTACTATTAATTAGTAAAAAATTATAAAAATAAATTTTATTTTTAACCTAATATTATAAGAAATATTTTAATTGAAACAGCGGGTAAAATTAAAATTTAATTTTTTAAGTTTTATAAAAAATTACAGCAGTGTGGCTCTAAGAGTAGGAACAGAGGGAGAATGGTCGTAGGCTGCCGAGACGCGAGAGTGAGGGATCAGGGCTGCAGGGAGGGAGGATACTCTGCCTCTCCGGCTGCAAATTATAATTTTTTATTAGCGTTATCAAACCCATTTACAAATTGGTGGTTAAAACCAATATTTAATTTTTTACCTTACAAAATTAATAAGTTTTAACTCATAACCTTATAATACAATACTATTAACAATTTATCTTACAAAATTGATACGTTTTAACTCCTCACCTTATATTATAACACTTTTAAACCCTTATCTGTACGAATTGAAAAAAATAACCTTATTTAATATCAGGTTTTAATGTTTTATTAATTCTGTTAACTGACTATCAATTTTATTAGCTGACTGAAAGTTTTGTTAGTTGACTGTTAGCATCAGTTAGCATTCCGTTAATGAAACTAACAAATAAAATTAAATTTAAATTTTATATTTTTTATAACAAAATGTTAACAGATATTAATAGTCAACTAACAGAATTAACATAACGTTATAATCTGATATCAGGTGAGTGTTATTTTCTTTTATTCATATCGGTGATGGGTTAAAAATATCATAATATAAGGTAAATGGTTAAAACTTACCAACTTTGTAAGGTGAAGAGTTAAAACTTACAAACTTTATAAGATAAAAGATTAAAATTGTCATCTTATAAGGTGAGGGGTTAAAACCTACAAATTTTGTAAAGTGAAGGGCTAAATGTTGGTTTTTACCCAAATTGGTAGTATATATTTATTTTTAAAAAAATTAAAGAAGTACAAAAATATAATATTAAATGATATTAATACGTATCAGTTTTAATTCTAAAAAAATTAGAGTCTCAATTTTTATTTAAAATTTAAAAATTCAATTAGTTT